CAGGATGTGAAAGGAGCAGGGACGGGGGCTGTGGGGGCACAGGGGGTATGCGGGACAAGATATAGGGACAACAGGGGGACAGATGAGGGGATGGATGGGGGGACAGGACCTGCTGGGGATGGGGGATGTGGGATGGCAGTGGCGGCAGAACAGGGGCATGAAGGGACAGATGGATGGACAGGCAGACAGGGGAATGGACAGGCAGGTTGATGGGGGACAGAAGGGGGAACATGCCACCTAGGGCTGCAGGCAGGTAGAGGGGGGATGGACAGATGGGACACGAGGGCCAGGGTGCAGGGCAAGAGCACGTGGAAAGGCATGAGCACCAGAAGTGGCACAGGGGCAGACGAATGGACAGGGGCACTGCACACAGTGACAGTGGGACAGGGGCAACAGGATGGACACACAGGGCAATGAGGAACACAGGGAGAGGGGGGCAGCAACACGGACTGGAGGGTTGGGGTGCAAGCAGAGAGCACGGGGAGGGATGGACAGACAGACATGGGGCTGTGTGGTGGAACATCAGAGTGTGAGAACAGGGTGGGAGGAACAGACAAACCAGGGGACAGATGGACAACATGGTGGGGCTGCAGCGTCACACTGGGGCACAGGAGGAGGACAGACGGACAGTCACGTGGGGGGGCTGCGCAGTGTCACACAAGGATGGGAGACACAGATGGACAGACAGACAGGAGGGCTGTGTGGTGTCACACCAGGTGGGGGAGAGGCAGGAGTAGGCAGTCAGACAGATGGACAGGATGGACACAGGGCAGCAGTGCCAGTACCCCTGGGGAGATGGGTGGACGGATGGAGCGGGACCAGAGGGCTTTGGGAGCACAGAGAGAGGGGGGCCATCAGCAACAAGACCCTGTACTTAGGAGGATCCCCAACCATGGTGCCCCCAGCCCCCACACTCGGGGGGCTCAGGGGCTGTGCAGCCCTCACAGAGAAGTGGGGTGTGGAGGGCAGGGGGGTCCCAGCACCGCCATGGGCCATGGAATGTAGGGGGTCCCGGCCCCCACCTCTGGGGGCACAGGGAAGCTGGACCCCATCTCTCACTGGGGAGGGCAGGCAGTGCAGGGGGGGCTGGCTCACCACCAGTGGGGCTGAGGGAGGGCTCTGCTCACACAGAGGTTGTAGGGGGTCCAGGAGGGCTGCAGTGGGGCACACTGGGGTGCACCAGTAGCACTGGGGTACAGGCTCAGGGACAGAGGGGGATGCAGCGAGGCAGAGGGGGCTAGGTGCACTGAGGGGCACAGGGGATGGATGCTGGAGGGGCAGAGCAGGCTAGGGGTGCAGGGGGCAGTAAGGACATGGGGGGTGCATTTGAAGGGTTGCAGTGGCAGGGCTGCAGTCAGGTCTCAGTGGGGTGCAGGGGGGATGTGCTGGGGATGGATGCTGGCGGGGTGCAGAGCACACGGGAAGGGCGTAGGGGGGCTCAGAGACAGGGTGGGATGAAGAGTGGCTGCCAGGGCACAGAGGATATACCAGGGGTGCAGTGGGGTGCAGGGAGGGGTCCCACCTCTAACAGAAAGTGTGCAGGTAGGGATTGGGCTCAGGAGGTGCAGGGGGGACTCGGGAGGGGTTCAGGGAATTCCACCTCTCACAGAAAGCGTGCAGGCAGGGATGGGGTTTGGGAGAATGCAGGGGGCTCAGGGTGGGTTCAGGAGCTCCCACCTCTCGCAGAAGGTGTGCAGGCAGGGCAGGACCTTGGGGTTGCAGTAGCGGTCGAGGCAGATGCTGCAGATCAGGAACTGCTGGTCAATCTGCCGCACCACCGGGCTGGCGGGCTCATGGCGGGCCATGGTGGCTCCTCAGCCTGGCAGGCACACCACAGTGAGGGGCAGGCACCCTGCAACACCCCATGGGGCTCCCGGCACCCCACGGCCACTCCCAGCCCCAACCCACGGGCACCACACAACCCCTACCACCCGCAGGCTCGCGGTGGGTCATGGCAGACCCTCAGCCTGAGAATGGAGGGAATTTAAATGCTTGAGAGGCACTGCATGGCACCCTGCAGCCCACAGGGTGCCCCACAGCCCCCCGCCCACGCCGCAGCCCCACAGAGGGCCATAACGGACATTCACCCTGTGGCATGAGGGCTCAGCACCCCGGGCACCCACAGCACCCACAGCAGGGCATCCCACAGCCCCCGGCCCCACAGACACCTTGTGGGGCACACACGAGCACTGCCCCATGACCCCCGGGCACCCACAGCCTCACAGACACCGCGTCCCAGGGCACTGCCCTGCCCCTCGAAACCCACCGATCCCGCAGCCCCCTCTCCTTGTGCGCCGTGGCACCGGCCCCATCCACCGCCCGCCCCACAGGGCGCCCGCAGCATCCGCCCTCCCGCCCCACGGGCACGCCCCAGCGCCGCCGCGTCCGACCCACCGACCCCTGGGGACACTCCTCGTCCCCTCCCTTGTCCCCTGTGCCTCAGTGACCCCCGCAGCCCCTGTCCCCATCGCCCCCCGTCCCGCGAGCGGCCCCGCGCCCCGGCCCCGCTCACGGCGCTGCGGCGGCTCCGCGCTCCAGGCCCCGGCCCCGCCCCGGCCGCCATTGTGCGGCACCGCCCCCCCGCACCGGGCAGCGGGCACGGCGGGCGCGGGGTCCCGCACCCGCGGGGTCCCCGGTCAGCCGCGGCCGCCCCTCAGCGGGCCGGGCCCGGCGGCCGCACTCACCCCCCCGCTGCCCCCTGCTCGCGCCGCGCGGGCCCCACGGCGCATCCTCGGCCCCGGCCCGGGATGCGACAGCGAGGCGGCCGGCCCGGCCGGCACCACCCGCGCTCCGCAGGGGGAGCGGGAGCGCGCCGCCGCCTCCCTGCTCCGCGCAGCCCGCACCCCACGACGCCCCGCTCGGGATGCCGAGGCGTCGCCGCGGGACGCGCTGCCGCCCCCGGCTGGGGGGCTCGTGGGGAGGGTTCCGTGGGAAAGTGGGTAAAGCGACCCCCTCGGCTCCCCCCCAGCATCAGTGGTCGCGCCTGGGCTGTGGCTCTGCAGCTGGGGGGGGCTCCCCGCATCCAGGGGTACCCGGCTGTTGCCACGGCAACCACATCCCGACCCCGAATTTGGGGGGGTTGACCCCAGACTGGACGGAGAACAGGACTGGGGAATGTCAGCGTACGCTGGTGGGTGGGGGCATGACGGGGCGGGGGGTCAGCGAGCGTGGGGTGACGGGCGGTAGGAATTGAGAAGTAGGAAGAATATAAAAGGGGGATGAAAGGGAAGGTCAAGGCAAACAGGTGGATATAAATGGGGGCAAGGGGGATTCACAGGTAAAAAGAGGGGTAAAATAGGAGCTATAGAGGGGTGGTATAGAGGAGGTACAGGTGGGGTACAAAGGGGCTTGTAAAGGGGGGGATAGGAGTAAAACCAAAGTCAGTAGGCCTGTCCCAGCCCCTCAGTTTGTAGGGAGCCCACACTTCTTCCCACCTGCCAGCTGCCACAGCACCTCCTCCACGTGGGATGCCCTTCATCACCATCACCCCCCTCAGCTGGTACCCCTCCACCCCGGACCCCATTCAGGATGTGGCATCAAGCCCACCTGCTGCAGCTTCCCGGGAATTCCAGCAGCTTCTGGCTGCCTCCTTTGGGTGAGGCAGCTGGGGCACCAAGCGGGCACTCTTAGACAAGGCATCCTGGCAGAGCTGGAGTCGAGGGGTGCAGAGGAGGTGCCCCTGTTCCCAGCCAGGTCACTGCTGGAGTGGGCCATGGGGGGATGATGGCTGCAGGGACAGGGAGGTGCTGATCCAGCCCAGCACATTTGGGGACCCATCAGGGAGACCCATCAGCTCCAGGATGGACCCAGAGCTCTGCCATGAACCAGCCCCCCAATAAATCTGTCCCAATCCACATGGGGGGCCCCCAGCATGGTCCCCTGACCTTCCACCTTGGCCTCAGTGTCAGAAGGTTCTGCAGCCAGGCCCGACCTGGTTGTGCAGCCATCACAGTGCCCCAGGAGCAAGGATGATTATGAAGGGGATAGGGAGTGACCTGACCTGGAACCCACCCCCAGGACCCTCCAGTCCCAGCCAGGCACCCCCAGAAGCAGCAAAAGGTGCTGAGGCTCAGCGTGTCCCACAGGCACCCACAGCACAGTGGGGACCAGGTGCTGGGACATCTGCAGCACAGCACAATCAAGTGGGCTCCTCTGCACCAAGACCTCCTCTGGCCCTCCACCCTCACCCCCAGTGAGGCTCCTTCTCCCCGCGGAGACCCCCGGTCCTTCCCCAGTATCCCCCAGGAGCCGGCGGATGGGCCTGGGAGCACAGAGCAGGTGCCTGGGAACAGCCTCATCCCTTGTGGGGCAGACACCCACCTGATTACCCACATCCGTGTCTGGGGAGTGGCAGGACCCCATGGGAGGGTTTCAGTGTTCCAGGGGGCCGGGGCAGAGGAAGAGGGTGTTCAGGAGGAAGGTTCAGGGGAGGTGGGGAATGTTCTGAAGGGAGTGTCCCAGGGGCCAGTGAGTGTTCTGGCGGTGTCCAGGAGCCCCAGGGGAGCAGCAACCAGAGCAGAAACAGGTTGAAGGGTGATGGGGGAGGGCACTGGATGGCCCCGGCCCCAGTCCCTGGCCTGGAGAAGGGGAATATATCCTGCGGGACTCCCGAGCTCTCAATGCCACCAGTGGGACAGCAGTGATGGTGCCAGGAAGCCCAGGCCAATCCCACCCAGCTTCCCCCTGCAGTGCCCCGCATCCTGTCCCCATTTACTCCCACCTGGTCCTGGTTCATGCTGGAGCAAGGGGTGGCTCCCCTCACCACACACAGGTGAGGAGGGTTCCCCCAAGCCCCGTGCTCACCCCCCAGAGCCATTTCTTCTGTACTCCAGCTCACTCCCCTTCCGAGCCTGGGGCCCCCACAAGGAGCAGCCAGCCCCCCCTCCCGTGCCCTAGGGCTCCATCAGAGTCCTCACTGTTGTGGGGCTCATGCCCCCGTCTCCCACCCACCCTGGCAGCCCCAGCCTGCTGGGTGCAGCCCCTCCTCGTCCCACGGTAGCTCTGCACACACTGATCTGTACCATTTATTCGCGATTTTACAGAAGTCAGAGGGTTGGGGGGTCAGACCGTCACCAGGGCGGGGCAGGGGAAGTCGGATCCCGACATTAAATTATCAGTTAAATTAATGAGCAAGAAAAACCAACAGTTTTGTCTCAGGAGAAAGTGCCCAAGTGCGGGGGTAGGCGGGGGCCCCTCATGGCTTGGGGGTGAACCCGGGCCGGGACCCCAGCCCCCTGTGTGCAGCACATGTGCCCCAGTCCCAGGACAGGCATGCGCCCACACACGGACATGCATGGACACGCGTGCACCCCCTGTGCCCCACGGACATTTGGTCCCTGCTTGGAGTCCCCCATCCTCTCTCAGAGTGCCATGGACCTGTGCCTGGCCAGCGACCCCCCCTGCCACTAGCAGCAGGGCACAGGGAGCCCTCACCAGCCCAGCCCAGGATGCCACAGCCCCAGGGAGGCAGGGGGGTCTTTGGGGGGTGCAGCCCCCTGTGAATCAGGAGTGCGTGAGCGGCCTGGCTGGAAACACCTGGGAACAGCCTGGAGGGGGGCCAGGGTGTCCCTGGCACTGGCAGGCACAGCGGGAGCCCCCCTGCGTGCCAGGTCCAGCAGGGAGGCCCCACAGCCTCTCCCTGGCACAGGGGGGGCCCAGCTGTCCCGGTGCCACCCCCACCCAGCTCCACTGTGCCCCAGGGCAGGGGGCTCTCTGGGTGGAAGCTGGCAGTGGGCCTGGGAGGGGCACGCCCTCATCCTGCCCCAGCGAGGCACAGGGGGACAGTGGAAGGCCCTGGCTCACCCCAAGGTGAGTAAGGTGTCTGGGGGCAGCAGCCCAGCGAGCCCCCTTAGGAGTGTCAGGGGCAGGGGGGGCTCCAGCTGTCTGCTGTGTAGGGCCTGTGCTGAGGAGCTGCTGCACCCTGCCCTGAGCAGGGGCTGTGGGATGAGGGGGGACCCAACCCACTGGCACCTCCCCATACCTGGTGGCCCCCCTCATCCGAGAGCAGGCCTGGGCTGTGGCCCCCATGAGCCCCCGGCCACAACTGAGGTCCATGTGTGCTCCTCCATCTGGGGGGGGCACAGGGAGCTCACTGCTCCTCCAGCCAGGAGGGCTTCTCAGCGCCAGGGGTCTTGAGCTTGATGTTGAACTGCTTGAGGGTCTGCTCAAGCTGCTGCTGGTTCCCAGCAAAGTACGCAGAGATGGCATTGTGGAACAGCAGCAGTTGCTTGTGCATCACCTTGATCTGGGGGGGAGGGGATCATGACTGGGAGGGCCTGAGCCCACCCCAGCAGCACAGAAAAGGGCTTGGAAAGCCCTCTGAGACCCCCCGAGTGCCACCACTCCCCCTCTGCACTGTCTGTTCCACCCAGTTCGTGTCTTCGAGTGACAAATGCAGCGTGGATGTCAAATCCCTGCAGGGACCCCATCCCTGTGCCCCCTATCTTTGCACTTCCCTCCCATCCCTGTCCCAAACCCCTCCTCCTCATGTGCCCCATCTCTGCATGCCCCACCTCTGTCTTGCATCTAGCATTCCTGTGCCCCCCATCCCCACCCCACACCTCCCATGTCTGCACCCACCTTGTTCTCCTCCAAGAATTTGAGCTTGATGGCCACGTCTGCCCGCAGCTTCTCGTACTTGTCCTTGTGGCTCTGGAACTGGCTCTGGGCAGCGTCCAGGCGGCTCACAGCGCCGGCGTCGCGCGGGCCCATGCTCAGCTCCTCCAGGTCCGTGCGGTACGCGTCATACTCCAACCTGCGCAGAGTCCCGGCATCACCGACCTGCCTCCAGCCCTCCCCGGAGCCCTGAGCCCCCCAGGGCTGGCCCACCTGGCCGTCTCATACTGCTTCACTGTCATGAGCGTGTCCTCCATGGTCTTGTTGACCAGCGTATTGATGCTGGACACAAAGAAGTTAACGGCGCCCAGCAGCGTCTCCCCGTTCTTGCACAGCAGCTTCTGCGTCTCCGCGTTGTACCCAAACTCCTCCTGGGGACAGAGGGATGGGGGCACAGGTGAAGGGCCACGGATCACATCCCCACTCCCTTCTGTCAAGGGTGCTGGGGGAAAAGCCCCGAGACCACCAAGGCCAAGCATGACGCAGCACCACCGAAGCCAGCACCAGCACAACAGCCACTCCTGTGCAGATCACGTTGCTGCCCTGGTGTCCAAGTGTGACTCCCCAAGTCCTGACCCCCACAACCCCAGTGTCAAACCCCAGCTACACCTGCCCCCCCAGCCCCAGTGTCCAGGTGTCCCCTCCAAGTCTGGGTGCTCCCCATCCTCCCGCAGCCCTGGTGCCCAGGTGTCCTTGCCCTCACCCCAGCATCCCCCTAGCCCTGGCACACCTGGAGCTCAGGGGATTTCTGACTGAGGTCAGCAAAGGCGTCCCCCAGGGCGTGCTGGGTCTGTACGAGGCTGTAGAGGTGGGCCGTGAGCGCCCGTGCCAGGTGCAGGACGCTCTCGTACTTGCGTTTGGTCTCACGCAGCAGCTCAATCTGGGTCTCCAGCTCCAGGTCCACTGTGCGGGACCCCCGGCCGAAGCGCTCCGAGAGCAGCTGCTTGGTGCACTGCAGCAGGGGGACACAGGGCCCCAAGGCGCCTGTGAGTCCCCCGAGCCACACCGAGAGCAGCTCCTCATGGGAGGGGAGCAGGAAGGCCCACTGGTGTCCCCTCACACTCACCTTGTAGGTGTTGATCCCCCACTTCTTGACAATGTCGAACTTCTCAACGGCAATGCCGCGCACGACCTCTTCTCCACCAGGCGGGGGTCCGGGGGGTGGTGGGTGCAGCCCAGGGCCTGGCACAGGGACAGGAATATGGCACCAGCTGCACGAGGGCGGCAGCCACGGGGAACGGGCAGCCCCAGCCTCCAGAGCCCTTGTCCTGGAGCTGCTATTTCTACAACAGCATGCCCAGCTCCAGGCATATGCCCAGCACTGGCTCACAGGCATTGTGATGAGGACCCTGCTCCTGCCAGCCCCCCTGAGGGTCCCACACAGGGGCACAGATCCCAGCCCAGCCATATCTGCTTGCACCAAGCCCTGCCCCATTCCTGCCGACTGCTGTCACCAGGCTGGACACAGGGGGAACACTGCCCAGTAGTACTGGGAGCCCCTCAGGTGGGCTCCAGGGGCAGGGTGGGCCCCTCTGGCCAGGACCCACCTCTGAAACCCCTGGGCCCACCAGTGCTGTCGTCTGTCCCAGCACAAGGATCAGCCCCAGGACCAGGCTCTGGCCATGACACAGCCGCCATGGGGGTTCTTACCAACGTCCCTAGGGAGGCCCGGGGCCCCCAGACCCAAGGGACGCCCGGGGTGGAGTGGGGGGCGCAGTACCTGCGGGAGCCGCGGCCGGGCGGGCCATCCTACGGGCAGCAGGCGCGCTGGGGGCAACCGACGGTCCTCGGGGGGGGTGAGGGTGGACAAGAGAGCCTGGAAATGGGGGGGCTGCGGGGGCTGAGCAGTGTGGGGCAGGACAGGATGGGGGCACAGGGCATGGCACAGTGGGGTAGCCAGGGCAGAGGGACGGGGGGGCAAGGGACAGGGGCGAGTGCGCGGGCGGGCGGCAGCGGGAGAGCGACGGCAGCAGGTGAGCGTTGGAACCCAGAGACACAGCCACAGCCTCACAGACGGATGCCCCAGCCCAGGAAACCCCCAACTCTGGCCCCCGTGCAGGAACCCCTGCACCCCAAGGGCTGGGTAGGCCTGGCATCACGAGCACGCTGGGACACAGAGACACAGGGACACCGGGCCAGCAGTGGCGGTGCTCCGGGGAAGTGCACACCCGTGCAGTCTCCCTCTCTGCCCATATGGACCTTCCTCAGGCCCTGGGGAAGATCTCTCAGGGAGAGATCTGCATGGAACAAGGACAGTGCTGCCAGGTCTCCCAGGGTGCAGAGCCCAGCTGGCCCCGCTGTGGCCCGGTCTGACTGGGACAGCAAGAAGGGGTCAGCAGAGTGTGGGCTTGTGCCCCTGCCTGCCCCCTCATCCCCAGCACACTCCAGAGCTCCCGCTGCACATGGACCAGGACACACCAGGGATCCTCCACCAAGCAGGGATTCAGAATCTCACAGGGATGTCCTGACCAAGGGGATGGAAATTCCCAGCAGAGCCCACCCTGTGACAGGGGAGCAGCCCAGGGAGAGCGGAGCTGGGGCAGCAGCCCCTCCTCTGCCATCAGTGCACACTGCCACATGCTGCCCCTGCACAGAACCCAAGCCCACCCAGGAGCCACCTCGGCCAGGCTGTGGCACAGCCTCGTGTCATGAGTCAGGGGCACTGAGAAGAGATGAGCCCCTTGGTCCCACAATGGCCCCATTCCCTCCCAGCCCAACTCCACTACCTTTGATGGTGCCGGTGGGGATGATGCCCTCAGCCGTGCCCCCGTAGCCACCTGACACAATGCTGGTCTCATTCAGGTTGGGTCCTGACACCATCACCTGCTGCAGGTCCTGGGGGGCAGAATAGCACAGGGGGCTGAGAGGCAGAGATGGCACAGCCCTGGTACAACCCAAACACCCCCTAGGGTTCCCGAGCTCCAGACCTGCTCCAGGCCATCGTCCTCGGGCAGGCTGCTGGTGTCCCCGTTGCTGCTGATGGGGATCTCCATGGTGGCTGCCTTGCTCAGGATCCCGTCCGACATCCTCAGGGCCTGCAGGGACACGGCCGTGGTGCTGGGGCCAGGACCACCGCCCGGCCGGGGGCAGCAGCCACAGCCGGTACTGCGGGGCCGTGTTGGGACAGCAGGAGGCTTCGGCGCAGAGAGAAGGGCCCACATCGGCAGCCGCTGGCACCGAGCAGAGGCTGCCCGCTGCCTCCTGCAGCCACTCCCAGCCCGGCCCCACCGTCTCTCGGGACACCCCCGGCCCCCAGAACCGACCCGTGGGGTGGCACATCCCAGAGACCGCTGCGGCTCCCACACCATCACGCCAGGGCTCCAGGGCTCCCCCGCCCCTGGGGCCGCACTCCGTGCCCCCTTTCACGAACCCTGCCGGGATCCCCGCAGTCCGTGCCCCGGGACAGCGGCGCTGGCAGCGCGCAGCGCGGCGCCGGGAGCCACGTCCGCAGGAGAGCGGGAGGGGGCCCGCTGCGCTCGGACCGGTCCGGGCACATTCCACAGCAGGCGGGGCCCGGGGCGGGCTCCCGAGAACCCGTTACCTGCGACCTGTGCCCTCCCCGGCGGGGACAGGGCCCGGCCCAGCGCGGGGGGCGAGCCCTGCGGGCAGAGGCTGTCACCGCCCGGGGCCATCCCGGCCGCGGAACGGCCCCGCAGCCCCACAGCCCCCGCGGCGGGCGGGGGCAGCGCCCGCACGGAGCCCTCCGCAGCCACGCACGGCAAGGCCCCGGGACGGGACCGACCTCCGAGGGAACCCCCGGTGGCCGCTCCCGGCGGAGCCGGCCCGAGCGGGCGGCGGCGGCCGCAGCCCGGCTCCCGGGGCTCTCTCGGCCAGGCCCCGCTGGCCGTGCGCGGCCCCCCGGTGCCCCCCAGCCCCACCTGCGCCCCGGCCCCGCCGGGCCCCCCGCGCCGCTCCCGCTCCGCTCGGCCCGGGCGCGCCGCAAGTGCCGTCAGGGCCCGGAGGTGGCGTCATGGCTGAGCCGGGCGGATGTGACGGCGCAGGGAGTGCGGCGGGAGCGGCCCGGGCCGGGCCCGGCATGGACCCGGCGGCCGAGCACCGGCAGCAGCTCCGCAGCGTGAGCCGGGGGCGGCGTGTCCCGCCAGGCCTTCGGGGGGGTCCCGGGGCTCCAGCTGGGGGGTCGCGAGGTGCCGGGGCCGCAGGAGAGCCGGCGGGGCCCTGGAAGGGACTCGGGCTGGCCGGGGGGCGCGCCGGGACTCGCGGTGGGTTTCGGGGGTACCGGAGCGGCTCCGCCCGGTGTGATCCGCGCCTGCTCCCCAGCTGCGGGATTTCCTGCTGGTCTACAACCGCATGACCGAGCTCTGCTTCCGCCACTGCGTCTGCAACCTCAACTACCGGCTGCTCACGGGCCGCGAGGTGAGCGGGGCCCGGGGGCCGCGGGCCGGCTGCCCCCGCGCCCCCTGACCCCCGCCGTGCCCCGCAGGAGTCGTGCCTGGACAGCTGCGCCGCGAGGCTGGTCCGCGCCAACCACCGCCTGATGGGCGCCTACGTGGGACTGGTGCCGGCGCTGCTGCAGCGCCGCGCAGCCGAGCACGACGCTGCGGCGGGGCCGCCCGCACTGCCGGCCTCCCCTGGACCGGCCCCGGGCCCCGCGGAAGACGCTCCCGCTGCCGGCACGTAGAAGCCCCTGGCCGCAGCTCCCCGCGGCCGTCGGACGCAGCAGCAGCCCTGCTGCGCTGGAGCTCCAGGCTGGAGCAGCATCCGCGCTGGGCCCCCGGAGCCCCGAGCAGCGGCTGGGCTATGCAGGGCACCGAGGATGGGGGGCACAGGAACAGGGGAAGGCCCCCCCTAGCCCTCCTGGCTGTGGATTTCTGGGAAGTGGAGTGTGAATACCAATAAAACATCTTCACAGTAATGGCTTAGTGTGACACGTGGGGAGGGCACCAGAGCCCTGGCCCCTGTTCGCTGCTGTGTGAACCCATGGCACAACAGGGAATCCAGGGAATTGCACCTCACTGGGAGACAAATGTCTCCCTACAGGACGCCCGTGATCACCGGGACATTGCAGGGCCCTGAACATTCTCACTGCAACTGGCAGGTGCAGAGCAGGCACTCAGGGCAGGGGGAGGGGGCAAGGTGGGGGTAGATGTCAGGTGCTGCCAGGCCAGTGCCCACCAGCTAAGGGCATGTGTATGCGTGGTCCCTAGGAGATCCTGGCCTCTTCTCTCCCTGCTGCAGCCCCTGGGCAGAGGGCGTGAGCTGCGGGTCCGGGACAGGCCTTAAGGCAGGTAAGCACGAGCCCCAGTACAGAAATAAATTGATATATTCCGTGTACAAAACATGCTCCTGCAGGCCCGGCCGGGCACTCCCGCGCATATAAATAAGGCCCGGCCCGACCTCCCCTCTGTCCTGCCCACGGGGGCCAGCGCCTGCGCCGGGGCCACCCCTCCCGCGGGACCCCCGGGCTGGCCGGGGTCACTTAAGGTCCACATCGAAGTCCAGCACCAGCAGCTTGGTCTCCTCGGTGCCATTGCGGCTGCCCACAGCACACACCAGCTTTGTGTTGGAGGCGCGGATGCGCCACACCACCCCACCCGAGCCCCCGCTCTCCAGGGCCACCAGGTTTCGCACAAACTCCCCTGTCTTCAGGTCCCACAGCTTCACTGTCCCGTCATCCGAGCTGGTCACCACGAACTTGGAGCTGAACTGCAGGCAGGTGACGGCACTCTGGTGCTTGCTGGGACCTATGGGGAGGCACCCATGAGCCCCATGCATACCTGGGCCACCCACTGCTGTTGACATGGATCCTGCCACAGCTGGCAGCTTACAGCCAGCCCAGTCTCAAGGGCAAGGAGCTCCCTCCCAGCCCTGCCCCTTCCCAGCCCCCTGATGGAGAGAACATCCCACTGCCCCCCAGGGGTAAGGTATCCCCTCTCACCCTGCAGCGTCTGCAGGCACTGCCCTGTCTTGATGTCCCAGATCTTGACGGTGGAGTCGGCGTTGCCGGACACCAGGATGTTGTCACGCAGCTCCATCCCGCTGGTGAGTGACTGGTGCCCCATGAGCGTGTGCAGGCAGTTCCCGCTCTCCACATCCCACACGCGGATTGATGTGTCCAGGGACCCACTCACGATGTGTGTCCCATCAAACTGCCAGAGAGAAGGGGTCCAGCTCAGGATCGAGGACAGGAGTGTCCCTGGTTTGGGGCACAGCCCACAGCTCCGGCACTCCCTAGTCTGGGATACAGCACGCCCAGTTCCAGCACCAGCGACCCCAGTTCAGCAGCTGAGACACAGGCTCATGTGCCTCTTGGCTTTTTGAGCTGTAATGCTCCAGGGAAGGGGCATGGACGAGTGTTTGTGTCCACAGCATATGTGTGTGGGAAGTGGGATCAGGGGGGCAGAGACTGTCCCCAAAGGACACAAACAGGGTCCATGTGTCCTTGCAGGGCAGATACAGCCCCTTCAGGGCACACATGTCCCTGCAAAGCTCACAGGGCCTTGCACGACACACGCACAGCCTATTTGTCCCTACAGCACACGTGGGACCTTTGGCACAGCTTGTACCCATGACTGGAAGGCAGGGGAGAGATAGCAAGCCAGCAGGAAGGCAGGTTGTACCTGCAGGGAGCAGGGAGGGCAGGGGAGCAGCAGGAGGGAATGTGTGCAGGGCCGTACCTGCAGTGAGTAGACACGGTTGGTGTGCCCCTGCAGCGTGTGGGTGCAGCTCTCGCTCTCGGGGTCCCACACCTTGACTGTGTAGTCGTAGGCACCACTGACCACCTTGTTGCCATCATACTGGACGCAGCGCACAGCTGCCACATGGCCCATCAGCACATGCAGGCACTGCCCCGTCTCGATGTCCCAGAGCCGTAGCGTGGCATCCCGCGAGCCGCTCACCACCCTGCGGGAGAGGGGACACCTGGGGCCCAGCTGCCAGGGCAGCCTGGGGCTAACAGCCTCCCCGTGGATATTGTCCTCCCTCACACAGCACCCACAGCCCGTACCTGTTGCCGTGCAGGTGCATGCAGCGCACGGTGGAGGTGTGTCCGTACAGCGTGTGCACGCACTCGCCGCTGTCAGCGTTCCACACCTTGAGTGTGCGGTCAGTGGAGCCGCTGATGACAATGCTGTCCCTCATCTGGGAGGACCAAACCCCCCCAGTGTGGCCCACCAGCGTCTGCACACACTGTGGGGAACAGGACGGGAGAGGCAGGTGAGCCTCTCGCACTCCCCCACCCCAAAACAGCACAGAGGAGCAGCACAACTCTGTGTCCTTGTCATAACGGGCCCAAACCGACCCCAGCAGTCAGGGTGTAGCCCCAGCTGTGCCCAGCACAGGGAGATGGTCCCTGCCCCAAGCCCCTGTGGCGCCAGTGACAATGCCACACTCACTTGCCTGGTGACAGTGACACTCACCTCCCCTGTGACAGCTGACCACACTTTGAGTGTGTTGTCATCAGAGCCGCTTACTATGCGATTCCCACAGAACTGCAGGCAGGTGATCACATGGTCGTCATGGCCCTTCAGTACCTGTGGGAGCACAGGAGGGTGTGGGGGGCAGTGTGGCCCCACCCAGCCTGCAGGATCCCCCAGCATAATGAGCAGTGGGAAGGTAGCAGGAGCTGTGGGGAGGAAAGGCAGACGGGTCTCCAAACCACCTGCACCCCCTGGTGCTTCTGCAGGGCAGGGGAGCTGGGGTGTGTGGTGTGTCTGCTGCAGGGCCGGGGGTTACAGCAGAACAGGGAGTAGGAGGCTCAGGAACCCAGCAGCAAGAGAAGGGGTGGTGAGGACTCTGTCCAGGGGCAGGAGGGACCCCCACGGAGAGATCACCAGGGTTCTGGGACCCTGCACAGAACACAGTTGAGCCCTGTGACACTGCACTTTCCTTGGGTGCTGAGGCTGGCTGCAGCCCTGGATGGGGCCTTGGAAAGGGGCAAATGAAAGGACCCCCTTCTCCAGGCCCAGGAGATCTCATTTCTGCTGCCCCACTGCTCTGAACAAGCCGGATCTGCTCCCCATGGCAGATCCTGCGCCAGCTTCCCCACACCAGGGGCCTGAGGTCTGTCCCCAGAGGGACCCCCACCAGCCCCTCAGCCCTCCAGGGTCCACCCCTGGCAGGAGCACTCCCAGGCTCACCCTGGGGACCACAGCTCCCTGGAGTCAGCACTGGGACACCCAGACCTACTTTGGGGGGCCGCAGCTCCCCACTGCGCCAGTTCATGTCAATGCGGTGCTGACGCAGGAAGGCGAATTTCCAGGGGCTGTACATGAATCCGGGACTGAGCAGGCGTCGCTTCCTCAAGTGTAGGGGCTCCTCGATCCCTGCAGGGGACAACACAGCAGTGCCTCACCTGGATCAAGCCTGGGGTGGCCCCAGCCCCCAGCCGGGAGGGCCCTCACCCTCCTCACGGCACTTCTCCCTCCAAAGCAGGTTGTCCTCGGCCAGGACTCTCCAGTAGCGGCAAGTCTGGGCGGCACGGAGCAGGTCCCGTGGCTCCAGGAAAGACAAGACGTACAGGGCCAGCTACGTGGGGATAAAGGTCACAGAGAGGTCACAGGGGGAAGATCAGGTCAGGCCAGGCCCCTGGTCCCCAGGCTTCACTCACCTCCTTGGGCAGCAGGGAGATGAAGTCGCGCTGGAACTGGGGCTCGATGACCTGCATCATGTACTTGATCTGCGCTGGCTCACAGCGGTCAATGAGCTCATCCAGGGCCAGCAGCTTCTCAGGGCCGCTCCAGCGCTGCAGGGGGACCCCCAGTGACCCAGTGTCCCCAGCGAGCCCAGACACAGCCCTAGCAGCCAGGCCTCTTGTGCCAGGCCAGGAGCCTGAGGCAGGTGGCAGTTTGGTTGGTCACAGGTGCTGTGCGACAGGTGATACCACCCCTGGCCAGGGCTGAAACCTCCTGTGTGTTTCCTCACACAAATGAAACTACTCAAAATCCTCTGTGGGCCCAAACCCTGCCCACAGTGGGGATCCCTTAGGGTCGGCTCCCTCCCGTCACACCCAGGCTGCCTGGAGCCACCAGGTGAGCCATACCTGGAAGGTGCGGAGCCAGTCCTGTAGCTCAGGTGGGGGAGCCACCGAGGGGATGTGGCGGCGCCGGGCCTGCCCCACCTTGGCATTGCGCAGGTCGCCAAAGGTGGTCGTGGGGCTGGGTGTACAGGGACCCAGCGTCCTGGGAGAAACACCAGGCACAGCTGAGGCCATGGCACAGCTGGCATGTGCCAGCACTGCTCCGGGCCACAGTGCTCCAGAGGTATTGGAACTGGCTCCCACCAGTGGGAGCTCCACCCCACTGACCCCTTCTCTTTGCCCCCACCCTGCTGACCCCTTGCCCAGACATGTAGCCCAGCCTGCTCAGCAGATAGGCAACTGGTCAGGGCTGGATCTCTTCTGGGCCAACTCCTGCTCAATCCAAGTGGCCCTACCACCCTCCTGGGGAGGGCAGCACGAGCTATGTGCTGCCCCAGCACATAGAACCCCCTTCACCAGCTGCACTCAGAGCCCCCCACCCCTCACCTGCCATAGTCAGAGCCCTTGCACAGCTTCTTCCCAGGGGACAAGGCCCGGCCATCTGGGCCATTCTCTGACTTCCGCTTCATCTGTGGGACACAGGAGGTTGAAGTGGCTGGGAGAAACCCAGGCAGACCCCGGCAGACTCCCTGCCCACAGCTGATCCTTGCGGATCCCTAAAGGCCACCCGCCCCTGCGGGCCCCCTGCCAAGAGCTATGGGACAGATCCCCACCTGCTCTTGCTTTCTCCCTTCAGGGTCCATGCAGCAACAAAGGGTCCCCATGCAGAGCAGGGGGGCTGCAGCAGGGCCAGCCAGGGCTGGGAACTGGGGTAGCACCTCCTTCCCCCACCCTATGACCAAGGACCCCCATGCAGGGCAGGGGTCTGCATGGAGGAC